CGTGCGCGGGGTTTGCCCCCTGCCCGCGGCACCGGGCTCTCCGGGTGGCTGGCCCGGCGTACCCTCGCCCCGCCCGGCACCGTGGGTCCCCAAGGGCAAAGCCTGGCTCGGGCTTCGTGCGCTGTGGGCCAGGCCTGTCCTCTCTGCGTGGCCGCGGATTGCCCCGTCCAGCCGCCGCTCTTCCCGTGGGTCCCCTGCACGGCCACGCTGCTCCTGCCGTGGGAGTCACAGCGGAGCATCGCCCCGTCCTGCTCAGGGCACCCATGGGTGCCGGTGAGGAGACGCCTGCTCCTGGCTCCCGAGCACCTTCCGTTTTCTCGTGCTCCCTCCTGCAAAGTCGCTGAGCCTTGGGCCGAGCCTGACCGGCTCCTGACTGACACCTCCCTGGAGCCGTGCCGTGGCCGGGCAGGGGTACTGGCGGGGCCGTGAGCCAGGGAGGGTCTCTGGGGGTCTCCCACGCGAGTGGGCAGTGGACACATGCGTGCTTTCCTAAATGAGCCCACCTAATTGCACTTAGGCCGGTGGTGCTCGCTGACACAATAGGTCGCGTCCGCCCGGGACCCGCCTCTCCACTCCTGGCAACCTATTTTAAGCTGGGATTGCTCCAGTGCTATTAATATAACCTGTGTGGGGGCTGTTCCCGTCGTGCTGGCCCAGCCCTGGCCTTCTGCCCCCCGGACCCAGTCCTCTGGGCAGAGGTGTCGGCCCCTCCTCAGGGTGGCTGGAGAGACCCTGTGCCCCTGCCCGTGCCCGCCTGGGCTCCCGCAGCAAACTGTTGCAGGAGTGGCAGGGCTGTGCCCCACATGGTGATGGCAAGGAGACCTCCTGGTGCTCCTGTGCAGCCAGAGGCCAGTGCGCTGGCTGTGCACAGTTTCCCTGGGGACCTCGCCAGGGTCTCTTGTTCCTCCCGGGTCTAGACAGCACACCTCCTCACCGCTCTCTGCCCAGGGACTGGCCATGGACAGAGTGGGCTGAAGGTGAACCTCTCACTTGCCCCCGGGCTGGGTGCATCCCCTGTCACGGCCATGCGTCACTGTGGGATTTGGCCTCACGTGAAGGTCGGGTGGCCCAGGGCCAGTGCTGGTAGGGGAGGGTGCTGGTGCTGGAGGAGGTCAGAGGTGGACGGTGTCCCCAGCCTGTGCTGATCCATCATGCATCTCCAAGTCCATCCAGAGCCTGATCCTGCCCTGGTGCTGGAGGGCTATAGGTCCCAAATCCTGCAGCTGTGAGTTCCCCAGGCTGAGCCTGTCTGTGCCCCAGGACCCTGACTGTGCTGAGCCACTCCATGGGCTGAGACTGGCAGGCAAGGGACGGTGGGCAGACATGCTGCCTGTGGGACCGTGTGGGCACCGGCTGCCCACACCGTGCTCCTGCCCACACTGTGCTCCTCCTGCCCTCGCCTGTTCAGAGGCAGCGAGCGGTCCTGCTGCTTCCCAGCGCAGCTCTCCTGTGCCTGAGCAGGGACAGAGGACAGAGCAGGTTCCTCCTGTCCCCCACCAGCCCCTCCAGCACCACCGGCTGAGACCCCTCTGTGCCCAGGCCCTCCCCGCTGGGGGATCGGCTTGGACCAGCTCTGCACAGGGGCTGGGGAGAGGGTCCATGGGGATCCCTAGCAGGTCTGGGACCCAATCAGCCCCAGCAGGAGCTGGGGAGCAGCTGCCCAACCACAAATCCCTGGGGGATGCTGAGGCTGTTCCTCTGCTGTGGGCTCTGCAGCAGCTTCGCTGTCCCCCTCCATGGTGGTGGGTGGGAGTCAGGGGCTGTGCCCGCTGCTTGGCCATGGTGCAGGTACGGGGGTTGTGGGGCAGGGAGGGGGCCCAGTGCCATAAGCCCAGCTACAGCTTGGAGCGAGGGCACAAACGAGCTGCGGGCAGTGGGGCAGCAGGCTAGGCAGGGGCTGGCTGCTGACGAAGTGGAGGAACATGTGGGAAGAGCTGCCGGCTCTGTTATTTTTTGGGATTTCCAGAAAAGGCTGGAGGAGTGAATCTGAAAGTGAGACTCACCGGCTGTGCTGGGGCAGGGGGAGCTTGGGGCCGGCCATGCTGGGCGGCAGCAGAGCTGGCCCCATGCGGCCTCCCCCTGCCCTGGCTAGAGGACCTGCTTCCCTGCTTTCTTCCCAGGTTGGAAGCTCCAGGTTGGACCTCCCAGGGGGCTGGAGGTCCGGTGGGCTCGGAGGATGCTGGAGAGGGACTGGGGGAGTACTGGATCTGTCCCTCCCTGCTTGCAGGAGGTGACCCTTCCCCAGTGCCCCGTTGTCCTATCCCCTTCTCCCCATCTCCATCCCGTGCCAGCCCCAGGAGCTGTGCGGTGCCTCTGCTCCAGGCTCCGGCTCCACGGCCCCTCGCTGGGTAGCGGCAGCTGGTGCGGCAGGGAGTGGATGTGTCACTCGCTATCTTGGCAGGGAACAAATGATGGTATAAAAGCCCTGGCTGTGCCTGGCCTCCCACTGCCTCCGCTCCGGTGCTGCTGGCTGCTGCTGCCTGCCTGCACCCTTGCTCATGCTGCCCAGCCTGGGATGGGGGCGGTGGGAAGACCCAGGACCTGGGGAAACCAGCTGCGGTTGAGTCACATCACAGCCACGCTGGGGGACAGCCCTGTCCCCTGGGTGAAACGCGTCCCCACCGCACGCCCCATGGCCAGGAGAGGGGTTCTGCTGCCGGGGCAGCAGAGCCGCGGTTGGGCCGAGATGCCTCAGCCCCAGAGGCTTTCAGTTCCTCTGTCTCCTGCCGTCACGAGCTGCTGTGCGGCAGGGACCCCCCCGGCCAGGCCTCGGGGGATAACGGGAAGGGAGGGGTGGCCGATGGGCCCTTCCCCATCCCTGCGCTTGGGAGCGGGTTGCTTGGCCGGGTAACAACAGCAGTCACGTGGCGGCTGGGATTAGGGCTGCTGCGCTTGCCAGGGCACTAATCATGGGAGGTAATTGGCTGAAGAGGTGCTTAGCACATGCTGCAGAGCTGGGCAGGGTGCGGGCAGCTGGGTTCGGACGTGCCCTCTGTGCCCAGCCAGATGCCCGCGCTCGCCATTGGCATCGTGGTTGGCATTGGCATCATGGTCGGCGTGTCTTCCCTCTGCAGAGCCGGGCTATGTGGGTGCGATGTGTGTGGCAGCGCTGGCAAGAGCCCTGCCTGCTTGCTGCCAGCTTGGTGGCACAGCGAGTGGGATGCCCTGCTCCTGCCGGAGCCCTGCCCTGTGGCTGGGGATGCTCTGTGCTCCCGTGGCCATGGGCGCCACGTCCTCCCGCCTCCACTGCTGGCCTACTTATCCCCTTATGGAGCTCTGCAGCCCGGCTGCCTGCACCACTCCTGCCCGCACCTCCTGGAGCACTTAGTGGGGTGTCCCCAGGGTCAAAGCCTGCCTGGAAAGCGCCTGTGTAAGGGGCTGCCAGGGAGCAGCAGCTTTTCCCTGCCAGTCCCCAGGTCGGGGTGAGAAGCTGGCAGGCGGCTGCAGGCAGGAGGCCCCATGCAGCTGCTGCCACCGGCTCGCTGGCTGCAAACACGTTCGGAGGCAGCAAGGGCTGGGAGCTCCTGGAACGGGGCGACAGCAGCGCCTGCCAAGGTTCACCTGTGCAATTGGAGAGAGCAGAGCTCGTGTGCCACGGGCCACTCTCAGGTCTGTGCCGTGCATCTGCACCCCAAAGCACTGCAGCAGGCACCTCCGCTCCTTCCCAAGTCTGGGGAGACGGGGGGGATGCAGGGAGGGCATTCAGGTTTTTGCCCTGAGCCGGGGTGGCACGGGACCCAACGGGGCTGGTGCCGTAGGGGTGGGTCTGGCTGCCTGCGGTGGGTGCAGCTGGAGGCAGGTCCCTGGGCGCTGGGTGCACACAGGCCCCCCGCCCGTGTTTCCTTTCCGGATGGATTTCCTGTTTTCGGCTCTGGGGCCCGGTGCAGAGCCACCCAGGGTGGGGTGTGCCGGGGCGGGGTACGGGTCCGCAGAGGTGTGAGGGTCCTGCCTGGGGCAGGAGGGGGCCGCGCTCGGTGCCGGCCATCGCCCCATCATGGGGTGAGGGCCAGGGCTGCCCATCAGTGGGGCGCTCAGATTGCTGCTTGCAGGAAGTGTCCCGGCAGCTCTGCCAGCAGCGAGTCCTTCCCCAGGGGGCTGGACGATGGGGTGACGTGTCGCTGAGCCCCCCCCTGCCGACTGAGGCTGGCTGGGGTCCTGCACGGTGGCCCCCGGCAGCCGGGTCCCTGGCTCAGCCCTAGGGGTGATTGTCCCAGCTGGATGGTGAGGCTCCGGGGGATGCTGTGCATCACCACCCTGCTGCCCAGGGAGGCTGCAGAGGGGAGGGGCAGCTGCTGCTGGCTGGGGGGCCCGGGAGCCGTCTGAGCAGGGGACACCCCCCGGGAGCTGGCTGGCACGGAGGCAGGGTCCTGGCACTCAGCCGGCTCCCCGGAGCAATCTGGCAGTGAGAGGATGCAAACAGCTCCTGCATCCCAGCTGGGGGAAATAGCCCCTGTGCCAGGCTGAGCGGCATCTGCCATTGCCAGCGGGCAGCGAGGCTGCGGAGGAATGGTGCTGCTGCCCGCCGACTGCCCCCTTACCCGGGAAGGCATCTCTGGGACAGCAGGATCCAGCCGGCTCTGACGTGGGGCTGAGGGCTGGGGCCAGTTCCCCCTTCCCCGTGACTTTGTGTCCTGGGCACCCCCGGGGGAGCTGGCCAGCTGCCTGCATCACCCGTCCCAATTACCCTTGGGCTGGGGCTGCCTGGCCCCACAAGGGCAGATCCAGACCCTTTGGGGTCAGGTATGGGGATGTGCCCGCCCGCTCTGCGGCAGCCCTGTCCAGGAGGTGTGGACGCTCTTGGGGCACCAGAGGGGACAACCCCTCGCCCCCAACTTGGGCAGCTGGGCAGGACCTGCCTCTGCCGGAGACACCACCAGATTAGAGGTGACTCACCATAATCTTGAAGGAGTGGATTAAATCTGCTCCTGCTGCACTACTTAATGAAATCCATCCCATAATATGCTCCTGGCCCTGCTGTTCCCCCTCATCCCTTGCCCGCTCCAGCCCCTTGGCAGCAGGGTCCTCCTTCCCTGCCGAGGGCCAGGGCTGGCGCAGGCGTACGGGCAGAGTGCAGGCATGGGGTGCAGGCAGCAGACAGCCCGGACCCACTGTGACCCCATCCAGGCAGCAGCAGCCACGGGCTCTGCGGGACCGGGCCGCGGGCCGTGCTCGTCCCCAGCGCGTGGCACTTGCAGGTGGCCGTCCTGCGCCGCTCCCCAGCAGACAGAGTGGGGGGGTCTGGCTGGGGGCCCCCAGGAGCAGCTCTGCCCGGGCATCGCCTCGGGGCACCCCAGGCATCCTTGCACCCTGGTGCCCAGGGTCGATGCCTGGGGTGCAGGGGAAGGCATGAGGGGCCATGGCGTGTGCCTCTCTGCAGGGATGGGGCCGCTGTGGGCACAGCCTGGTCCTGCTGGGCGCCTGTTTTCCTCCGGTGTCCCCAGGCTGGGGAGACGGGGACTGCTGGGCTGCCTGTGCATGGCCGTGCCTCCAACAGTGAGCGAGCAGTGGGGAAGGATCCGGCTCAGGGCCGGGAGCAGGAAGGAAGGAAGGAAGGAAAGCAGAGTTAAAATAAGCCAGGCAGCGAGCTGTGGGGGAGGCCAGGGCTGGAGCCAGCTCCCAGCCTCCGGGGAGAGGGTCGGACCAGGGCGGACTGGGCTTTGCGTGGCACTGGGACACCCTGGGGTGCTGCACTGTGCATCGGGGCTGGGGTGGGGACAGTGTGCGGCAGGAGGGCACTGGGAGCTGGCAGGGTGCGTGCTGCCGGCCCCGTCCCTGACGGCTGTGGCCCCTTCTCCCACCTTGGCAGGATGGCTCCCGGCAGCGGCCGCCACAGAAGAAGAAGACGGTGTCCTTCAGCACCATGCCCAACGACCGCAAGATCAACAGCACGGCTGCCTGCATCTCCTTCATGCTGGAGGGCTGCGAGCTGAAGAAGGTGCGCTCCAACTCCCGCATGTACAGCCGCTTCTTCGTGCTGGACGCTGACATGCGCTCCGTGCGCTGGGAGCCCTCCAAGAAGGACTCGGAGAAGGCCAAGATCGAGATCAAGTCGGTCAAAGAGGTGCGCGTGGGCAAGAAGACGCCTGTCCTGCGCAGCAATGGCCTCTCCGACCAGTTCCCAGATGAGTGCGCCTTCTCCATCATCTATGGAGACAACTATGAGTCCCTGGACCTGGTGGCCAGCTCGGCCGATGTGGTGAGCGCCTGGGTGATGGGGCTCCGGTACCTGGTGTCCTATGGGAAGCACACCCCCGAGGCACCCGGGACCAGCCACCCCAGCCTCCGGACCTCCTGGATCTCCTCCGTCTTTGACCTTGCTGACCTGGAGAAGTCTGGCCGCATCCCTGTGTCCCGGGCCGTGCAGCTGATCAAAGCGCTCAACCCGGGCATGAAGACCTCCACCATCGAGCTGAAGTTCAAGGAGCTGCAGAAGGCCAGCGAGCGTCCTGGTGCAGAGGTGGCCTGCGACCTCTTCGTGGAGGTGTACTGCGAGCTCTGCACCCGCCCCGAGATCTTCTTCCTGCTGGTGCAGTTCTCCAGCAACAAGGAGTACCTGGGTCTGAAGGACCTGCTGATGTTCCTGGAGGTGGAGCAGGGCATGGAGGGGGTGACGGAGGAGAAGTGCTTGGAGATCGTTGGCAAGTACGAGCCCTCCAAGGAGGGCCGGGAGAAGGGCTACCTGGCCATCGACGGCTTCACGCGCTACCTGCTCTCCGCCGACTGCTCCATCTTCGACCCGCAGCACCGCAAGGTGTGCCAGGACATGGCGCAGCCCCTCTCCCACTACTACATCAGCTCTGCCCACAGCGCCTGCCTGCTGGAGGACAACTTCTGGGGCCGCTCGGACATCAGCGGCTACATCAGTGCCCTGGGCCTGGGCTGCCGCAGCATCGAGCTGGTGCTGTGGGACGGCCCCGAGGGCGAGCCCGTGGTCTACACCAGCCCCTCGGCCGCCTCCTGCGTGCCCTTCCGCGCCGTGGTGGGGCTGATCGACCAGCACGCCTTCGCCGCCTCTGCCTACCCCCTCATCCTCTGCCTGGTGGTGCGCTGCTCGGCCGCCCAGCAGCGCCTCGCCGCCCAGTGCCTGCGCAAGACGCTGGGGGAGAAGCTGTACCTGGAGCCCCCCAACCCTGCCGCGTCCTACCTGCCCTCTCCAGAGCAGCTCAAGGGCCGCATCCTCATCAAGGGCAAGAAGCTGCCGCCCGGCTGCGAGGACAGCGAGGGGGAGGTGTCGGATGAGGAGGAAGGCTGGGAGCTGGCACGGCGGCTGGGCCAGGAGGACCGGGAGACGCCAGAGGGAGGTGGCCCACGGCGGGTGCGCCTCAGCCGGGAGCTCTCGGAGCTGGTGAGCCTCTGCCAGGCTGTCCCCTTCCAGGACTTCGAGAGCTCGCGGCGCGGGCAGCGCTACTGGGAGATGTGTTCCTTCAGCGAGGTGGAGGCGGGACGCTTCGCCAACGAGTGCCCGGCCGAGCTGGTGAGCTACAACAAGCGGTTCCTCTCCCGCGTCTACCCCAGCCCCATGCGCATCGACGCCAGCAACATGAACCCCCAGGACTTCTGGAAGTGCGGCTGCCAGATGGTGGCCATGAACTACCAGACGCCAGGGCTCATGATGGACCTGAACACAGGCTGGTTCCGGCAGAACGGGGCCTGCGGCTACGTCCTCCGCCCCGCCATCATGCGGGAGGAGGTCTCCTACTTCAGTGCCAACGCCAAGGACTCCTTGCCCGGGGTGCCTGCCCAGCTCCTGCACCTCAAGGTCATCAGTGGGCAGAACCTGCCCAAGCCCAAGGGCTCGGGGGCCAAGGGGGAGGTGGTGGAGCCCTATGTCTGCGCCGAGATCCACGGCATCCCGGCCGACTGCGCCGAGCACCGCACCAAGACGGCCCTGCAGAGCGGGGACAACCCCGTCTTCGACGAGAGCCTGGAGTTCCAGATCAACCTGCCGGAGCTGGCCGTCCTGCGCTTCGTCGTGCTGGACGACGACTACATCGGGGACGAGTTCATCGCCCAGTACACCATCCCCTTCGAGTGCCTGCAGCCAGGCTACCGCCATGTCCCCCTCCAGTCCCTGGCCGGGGAGCCCCTGCCCCACGCCACCCTCTTTGTGCACGTGGCCATCACCGACCGCCGCGGCGGGGGCAAGGGGCACCGCCGGGGGCTGGCGGGGCGCCGGGGCCGCCGGGTGCGGGAGTACACCTCCACCAAGGCCACCGGCATCAAGGCCATCGATGAGGTCTTCCGGACAGCCACCCAGCCACTGCGGGAGGCCACTGACCTGCGGGAGAACGTGCAGGTACGGACCCTGTGGAGGCACCGGGGGACCTGGTTTCTGCGGGGGAGGACGGGGCCGGACCACGGACGGTGGGGAGCCTGGGTGTCCCCCCCCTTCCTGGGTACGCGGGCGAGGAGCTTCATCTGGAGCAGAGAGCCGGGGGAAATGGGGATGTTCCCGGCAGGGGGGCTCTTGGGGGCCCTCCCAGGCTGAGCCCCTGACGCTGGTCTCTGCCCACAGAACGCGCTGGTCTCCTTCAAGGAGCTGTGTGGGCTGACGCCCGCCGCCAACATGAAGCAGTGCATCCTGACGGTGGCCGCGTGGCTGCTGCACAACGACAGCGCGCCCAGCGTCACCCTCAACCTGGCAGAGCAGTACCCCCCCATGGAGGCCCAGGGCCCCATCCCGGACCTGCTGCGCAAGGTCCTCACCGCCTATGAGACGGTAAGCGCCGTCCCGCCGGGGCTTGGCTCCTCACGGGGATGAGCTGTGGGGCTGGCGGCACCGGGACCACCGCCCTGCCCAGGATGGGGGACCCCAAGCTCGCTGCACCCATCCCACTGCAGGGAGACACTGGCGGGGGGCTGTGTGTGGGGCTGCCCAGGGAGGAGTCTTGTCGAGGCGCAGGCTTGCCCAGCTGGGTACGAGCCCTGGGACCCCGCAGCCCCGTCCCCCTGCCCGCGCTGCCTGCACCCTATGCCAGGGCCGGCTGGCGGGGCGTCCTGCGGTCCCGCCTGGCGGGAGAAATCCCATTAATAGCCACAGCCGGAGCTGCTTCCTTCCTTTGTGTTGGAGGGAGACCTGGCCGCCGGCCAGGCGCTGGTCACACCGCACCTGGCTGTGCGTGGCGGGGCGAGGAGGGCCAGACCTCAGCCACCATGCTGGGGCGAGGGGCAGCCCCTGCCCCAGCCTCTTGTCCTCATCTGCTCTGCTGGGGGGGTGCGTGGGGCCGGGGGGCTGCCCAGCTCCTCACGCCGCCCCTCTCCCCAGATGATCCAGACGAGCCGGACGCTGATCGAGTCCGCCGACGCAGTGTACGGCAAGCTCATCCAGGCGCAGCAGGCAGGTGGGTCCCAGGTGGGCAGGCCCAGCCCCAGCGATGCTCCGGGATGCAGACCTGGGCACGTCCCTGGGGGGCCGGGTGTGGGGGTGCCATGTGTCTGCACTGGGCTGGGGGCATGTGTCCCCGCAGGGCTGGGTTCGGGGGGTCTGGCACCGGACTGGGGCGTGGGCACAGCCAAGCGTGCCGGCTTTTTTGGCCGTGCGCTTGCATGCCTGTGGTGTGCGACGGAGGGCGAGACGTGCGTGTCTGCACCCCGGGCGGGTGCGTGCCAGGGCCGGAGTTCAGCGGCAGAGCAGCCAGGGCCAGCCGGCCATGGGAGAGCGATTTCCAGCTGGGGTGGCCCTGAGCCCGGCTCTGCGGTTTTCCCATGTCCCAGCAGCACCGGGTGGGCATGGGAGGCTGCCTGGTGCCGGGTGCTACTGGGGTGCTGGGGCGTGGAGCTGCCTGTGCTGGGGCAGGGTGCTGGGCAGGTGGGCTGCAGGGGCTGTGCGGGAGGGAGGGGAGTGGAGGAGGCTGATGAGGAAGCGGGGAAGAGTCATTAGCTGCCAAACGCCAGAATATAATTAGCACCAGAAATAACAGACTGGGGCTGACGGTAGAAGTGGCAACTGAATGTTACGACTTCCAAGACACATGGCTGAACCCACACAGGCAGGTGCTGCCGCCTGCCTGCCCTGGTCCTCTCCCCCCATCCTGCCCCCACCCCAGTGGCTGCCCGGGACCCCCGGCCCTGCTCCAGGCACCGATGGCTCCATGGCCCCTCTGCGGGCTGGGGCCCCCCAGGGATAACCCCGGCCACCCCCGGCTGCACGGGGGCTGCTGGCCCGGGGGCTCATGTGGGCTCCCTGCAGGGCTGGGCGAGCCGCCAGGAGCTGGAGGGGCTGGGGAGGAAGGAGGGGGCCCCGCTCTGCCACCCCCAGCTGGTACCAGCCTTGCTGCCAGCAGCCCTGTTTGTTCCCAGCCTGCGCGGCAGCCCGGAAATCTCCCCGAGCTCTTGGCTTTTGGCTGTGCCGCCGCTGCCAGCGCCGGGGAGAGCGGCAGTGGCGGGGGGGGCACGGGCTGCAGGGTTGGGGTGCGGGGCACGGGTGGGCTCTGCGCCCTCCTGTGCCCCTCTGGCTGTGGGAGCCCTGCTGCTGTGCTGGCGGGGGGGGTGTCGTGGGGCAGAGGGGCTCTGGGGTGTGTGGCCACCACTGCTGCCTCTGCCCAGCCCCTCGAGGAGGTGGGAGGCAGCAGTTCGGGGGCTGCAACCCCCACTCCCGTGCCCAGGCTGCTGCCCATCCCTGCTTTCGCCCCAGCTGCGCTGCGGACAAGCCCCTGCGGTGCCAGTCCAGCCCGTGCCCAGCTGGTGGGTGCTGCGGGGTCCAGGGAGGTGCCGGCTGCAGGTGGGGGTGCAGGGCTGGGGGCGTGCTGATTGACAACGTGTGGGCGAGCAGGCTTGCGTGGGAGCCCTCGTGTGGGCCCGGAGCCGGTGCTGCGTCAGGAGGGGTAAATATAGCACCCGCTCACGAGGACGTCACGCGGTGCGCAGCGCGGGGGCCTGCACTCCGGTGGGGGGGGCCCGGTGGCCCCGCTCTGAGCCCCCCTGGCTGAGCTACAGTGTGCAAGAGCCATGCCTCTGCCTGGGGTACTGACTGCCCTTCTTGACCCCACAGCCTCCGGGGCCCAAAACCGCCAAGGGCTGGGGCCGAGCGCGATGCCGGGGTGGTGGTGGCTCTGTTGGCCCATCGTTCCCAGCACGGAGTGGGTTTGGGGCTGCTGGGGCAGCAGGGAGCCCACCCAGCATGCACCTCTGTGCCGGGCGAAGGGCATCTCTCTGGCTCAGTCCCTGTCCATAGCGAGCAGCGGCCGTCCTCATGCAGGTGGCCCCGCGCCCGCTGAGCGATGCTTCCATCTGCGCAGGCATGGACTTCCACAAGGAACTGCACCGCATCGAGGCCAAGGAGGGGCTGCGGGGGCGCAAGCTGCAGAAAGCGCTGGAGAGCTTCGCCTGGAACATCACCGTCCTGAAGGTGAGGGGCGAGGGCTGCGTGGCCCCCTCCTCGCCCTGCCGACCCGCACCCGGGGGATGCTCCGTGAGCACCGGGGACGGCATGGACCCATTCAGGGGGTCCAGGCGGTGCCCACAGCCAGCGAGCCCCCATCCCAGGTGCTGGCCGGCGGGGCAGCCCACGCTCCATGCAGGGGATCCGGGCAGCCCGAGTGGCACAGCCCCGGGGCCGGCCCCTGATGCCCTCTCGCCGCACAGGGCCAGGCTGACCTCCTCAAGCACGCCAAGGCTGAGGCGCTGGACAACCTCTGGCAGATCCACAACGCAGGACAGTCCTGCGGCATCGGCAGGAACGGCTCGGCCTCGCCGGAGCCCTCCCGGCTACGCACCCCGCTGGAGCCCATCCCCGAGACGGAAGGAAGCGGCGACACGGCATCCTGCTGACCCCGGCCTGGGGCTCGGGGACCCGGACAGAGCGCTCCCCTGCCCGCGGGGGCCAGGACCAGGGAGCCCCAGCCTGCTGACGGATGGGCAGCTGCTTGCCCGCAGGCTCAGTGTGCACGGAGGGATGTGTGCGGGGCTGGGTACCTGTGCTCTGTCGTGCCGAGGGGCTGGGGCGGGGACCAGTGGGGAGGTTGGGGAGGGGTGTCCCCGCTCCTGCTTGCCCCCCATGCCCAGCTCCCAGGGCCTCATCCACCCCGCCCCCACATCTGCTTCTGGAGCAAGCGCCCTGCTGCGGGGCCAGTGTGGATGCTGGCACCCCGGTGCCTGCGTGCATGTACCCCCAGCCTGCTGTGCCAGACTCCTCTTGTAAAAGCAGCCCCGGGGCTGGGCTCCTGCTCCCGTCCAGGGCCAGAAGTTTTGCCTTCGCCAGCCCTGGGGAAAACCTGCCTGGCGGGAAGGGTCCTGGCCAGTCCCAGTCCCCTCTCCACGGGGCAGCAGGTCCCTTCTCCCTGGTGTGCCTGGGGCCCCTGCTGTGCAGAGGGGCCAGGAGGCTCTGGGGTGCAGTTGCTGGGGGAGCTGGGGGGCCGCTGGAGACCGGCCTGGGCAGCAGATGCGGCCTCTGGCATCAGGGAAACGTCGGGGCTCGTCCTCCAGGGCGCGGGGGTCCCGGCGCAAGCAATGGGCAAGGGGCGGTCTGGGGTCAGACCGGGGCTGCGGAGCGTTATAAAGAGTGCGAGACCCACCGTGGTGCCCTGCTGCTCCCTCTGCGCGCCTGGTTTGGGGCCAAGGTGGGGTGGGGTCACCAAAGGGGATGGAGGGTGGCACGGGGTACGGGGACCCTGGCAGCATCATCCCTCCCACAGCACCAGCTGAGCGCAGCGTGGCGGCTCCCCACGTCAAGGAGCCGTGCGGCTGCCTGGCACCCCTTTGTTCAGGGAAGTAATTAGCCTAATGGGGCCACGAGGAGTGGACCCGTGTGCTGCTGCTGTCGGGAGCAGGCCAGCGCCTCCCCAGTGCTGACCTTCAGCCCCTTTGTGCCAGCCTGGCTGCAGGGCCCGTGGGCAATTATGGCCTCATTAGTGCCATACACCGGTGGCCACTGCGCCCAGCCAGTGAGCACCCACACAATGAGGAGCTGCAAATGAGGGGAAAGGCCTGGCTGGTCTCCGAGCTACCGGCCACAGCGCACCCGTGTCTCCCAGAGACCGGCTGCTCCCGCCTGGCCCCAACGGTATTTTTGGCACCGCTATTGTGCCAGGCCCTATAAAGTGGTGGCTGCGGTGGGTGGCACAGGGTGCTGTTCTCTTGGCTGCCTGGCAGGACATGCCCCAGCACTGCTCGGCTGCCTGAAGACCCCAGGAAGGATGGAGGTGCCCAATGCCAAGGTGGGGCCGGGGTGCTGCAGCCCATGGGGTTGGGAGGACAGCAATGGGGAAGAGGTTAGGATGTGGGGCCAGACGTCTGGGGGTGTCAGAGGGCCTGGCCGGTTCCTTGGGAAGCCCTGAGTGCGCAGCTCTGCCCCAGGGCTCCCCAGCTGTGGCCAGCAGCCGACTGGGGGGGCTCAGCCCCATGTGGGCTCCTCGGGAGGGAGTTGGGCACATGGTGCCTGTGGCGTCGAGCATGGGTGCTCTCACTGGTTGTCCTGTGGCACTTGGTGGTGAGGGGAGGGTGTTTGCCGCAGCTGCCTTGTGCTGGAGCAGGGCAGGAGTGCCGGTGCGGGCACCAGTGGGGGCTGTGATTGCTCAGGCTGGTGGGAGGGTGCGGGGAGCAGCAGTCCCAGCTCCCCTGGGGGTGCGGTGCTGGCTGTGCCCCAGGGCACTGAAGGGTGATGCTCCAGGTGCACCCTGGATGTGGGGCTGGGTCTCAGCAGCAGCGGGGACAAGCAGGCAGCAGTGCAGCAACCAGGGCAGACAGGAGCCGAGACACTGGGACGCACGGCAGGACTGGGGGGCAGCCCTGGGGCTGTGCAGCCCCCCCTCTCCAGCACTGCAGGCTGCCCTGCACTAACGCTGCCCGTTGCTCCGGCAGCTCCAGCGAGCTGCCTGCCTCTTGCTCCTGCTCCTGCTCTGCTCCCTGGCCGCTGCCCGGCAGAGTCTGCCCGAGTGCTGCCGGCAGAAGACCTGCTCCTGCCGCATCTATGACCTCCTGCATGGCATGGGCAACCATGCTGCCGGCATCCTTACGCTGGGCAAGAGGAAGAGCGTCCTGCCGGCCTTCCAGAGCCGGCTCTACCGCCTGCTGCACAGCTCTGGCAACCACGCTGCGGGTATCCTCACCATGGGCAAGCGTGGGGACCACCCTGGCTCTGCCTGCCACGACGCATCAGGCTGCCCTCTGGGTACAGACGCCCAGCCAACGCCAGCGCTGCGGGGCACTGATGCCAGCCCTACCAGCCCCAGGGAGTGCCAAGGACACTTGGGGAAGGACGTGACCAAGAGTCAGGCCGAGGGAGCTGCGAAGAGCTTTTACTGAGAGGGGTGGGAGCAGCGGGAGCAGGGAGGGGATCCCTGGGGGGTGGGACCCTGGGGACACATGCCCGGAGCTCGGTGTAAATAGTACTTTCACATACCTCCTCCTGGCCTTGGCCGAGCCTGCTCAGGGCACCGCAGGCACCGCTGGCCTTTTACAATAAACGGTAGCCTGACATGACCCGGCTCTGCCTTCTCTCTGGGGAGGGGCTGGCGGGGGGGGGGGCCAGCCCGGCCCCGGGCCGC